CTGTCTCCCTGAAGAAGGCGACTCCCCGGCCGGGAAAAGTGGTGGTGCCACAGGATGTCAGGTGGGGCGCTCCCCTGGGGTGCGGTGCGAGTGCAGCCGGGAAGCTCTCAGGCATGAAAAGTGCACATTGTTTGAACCTGTCGTGATCTTTCTCTCGGACCCGCGAGCGCAGTGAACCCCACAGGCCGGCTGTCTTTCCTGGTGGTGCTGAGTGACAGTCGTTCTTGTCCTTGTCACGCACGGCGCGTGGCTCAGGAGGCCTCGGGTCCGCACATTCTCCATCACTTCTGCACCGGAGGATGGAGGCCCTTCGTGTCACAGCTCACAGGCTTGTGCGCGAGAGCACCTGGGGGTCCAGCGATGCGGCGGGAAGCCAATTCTTTTTTTTTTTTTTATCCTCACCCGAGGACATTTTTCCATTTTTTGTTCAGGTAGAGTGGGAGGGAGAGAGAGAAACAGAGAGAGAGAGAAACATCGACGTGAAAGGGACACATCGAGTGGCTGCCACCCGCACAACCGACCAGGGCCGGGGACAAACTGCAACCGAGGTACGTGCCCTTAGCGGGAACCGAACCCGGGTCTCTCAGGACCGCAGGCCGACGCTCTAACCGCTGAACCAAACTGGCCAGGGCAGGAAGCCAATTCTCTGCATTAGCAACTAAGAGGAGGTTGATCACTAGACTCTCAAATACTCTTCTGTTCATACAAATACTTTATAAGAATAAATTAACGTTGCTTCAAAATTAAAGAATAATCTTTAGCTTTATTAAAATAATCATAATTTAAAAATGTGAGCCTGGCCGGGGTGGCTCAGTGATTTGAGCGCCATCCCATGGACTGAGAGGTCCCGGTTCAATTCCCAGTCAGGACACATGCAGGTTGTGGGCTCGATCTCCAGTAGGGGGCGTGCAGGACGCAGCTGATGGATGTTTCTCTCTCTCCTTTCCTCTCTCTAAAATATCAATAAAAACATATTTTAAAAAATTGATATTCATGAATTATACGTTTTATAATTTTGAACATTTTAATAGAAAAATAACTTATTTTTGAAACTATATATAAAAAATACCTTCGCTTATTTATATTTGCTTTTATATGCAATTTTGATGAAAATATGTTCAAAAGAGGGTAAGAAAAATAAATGTATTGAAGGGACATATACCAGTTTATAAGTTGCACCTGTTTTTACTGTGTTACATATACAGACATCACATCATCAATGGAATACTCAGACATGTATAATAATAAGTAAATTCTACTGTTTCTTAAACTTTGGCGAACTTTCAGTTATAAAAAACGTGATTTTATAGTTTTAATTTTTTCAGTTGAAGATGAATTTGTCAAGGTGACAGGCGAGCGTGGGCTGAGCCACCGTTGGAGAGGATGGTTTGTGAGCTGTGACCCTTTAAGGCAGGAGACGCAGGGGTCCCCTCCTCGGTCTGCCCGCCCCCGAGGACCTCGTCGGACTCCACCGTCTCAGTCTCTCCACAGCTCCCGCAAGCCTCCTGCCCACCCATGTCCACGGTCCCCACGGGACCCCCGCTAAGGAGACCCCAAGTCCAGTGCAGGGCTGTGCTCTGTGAATATTTGAAGTCCTTGTAGCGTGTTGTACACATAATAAATGATTGTGAACCGGACTGAACTGAGTTGAAAGGGAAAATAAGAGGAGCTGACCATCAAGAGAAACAAGTCAGCAAGGACGGGAAAAGGGCGTGAGGTGGACTGAGGTCCTCGAACACTGTCCAGCTGACAGGCACCTCGAAATCATTCACACACTTTCCCGAAACCCAAGTAGCAGGCTCCTGGTTCTCGTTATGTGGAGATCTTACCCTCACCTGAGGACATTTCTGCATTTATCTTCAGATAGAGCAGGAGGGAGAGGGGAGAAGAGAGAGAAACATCGATGTGAGAGAGACACAGTGACTGCCACCCACATGACCCCAACTGGGGCCGGGGACAAACTGCAATTGAGGTTCATGCCCTTAGCGGGAACTGAACCCAGGACTCTCTGGTCCACGGGCCGATGCTCTAACTGCTGAGCCACACTGGCCAGGGCTCTTTTTTAAAAAAAATTTTTTCTCTTCATTGACTTTAGAGAGAGATGAAGGGAGAGGGAGAGATAGAAACATTGATAAACGAGAACATGGATTGGCCGCCTCCTGCATGACCCCCACTGGGGATCGGGCCCACAACCTGGGCATGTGCCCTGACTGGGAATTGAACCGGTGACCTCTTGGTGCAGGGTCGACGCTCAACCACTGAGCCACACCGGCCGGGCGATATAGCTCCTTCTTAAAACTAGGAAGGACTTAGCAGAACACTCTGCATGTCTGTCTCGAAGCCCCGTCACCCTCAGGAGCTTTGTCCACAATGAAACCTGGTCAGCGTCTCGCTCCCTGGCCGTAGGGCACTTCAGCGATTTTCTGAAAACCTGCGCATGGTCCCGCGGTCACGCCGTGAACCCAGGCCTCTGTCCTCCACGCGTGTCATGAGGTGAACTCGACCGATGGGCTGTCGTCCCCCTGGGGGCACAAACCACTGGCTGGTGAGCGGCGGGAGGTTTGAGAGCACGTGAGTGACCCTGTTTCCTTCGGACACGGAGACGGGAATGTCCGTGTGCGGCCGCTGTGGGGACGAGAAAGCTTTGGAACTACTGAGGCTGTGCTCCAGGGCTCACACCTACCCGAGACCCCGTGTCCTACCCTTCAGACAGAGACACACGGTTCTTGATTATTCTCCTCACTCGGTAACCCCAGGTCCAAGATGAACCCGATCACGTTGCCAATATCACAGGTCACAGCTGGAGAACAAGATACCCTGCACCTTCCGAACAGCCGTCTCTTAAAGTTTGATATTAGTTTCCGGTGCTCAGCACGGTGGTCGGTCAGGGACTGACACAGTGTCCCAGGTGTCCCCACTGGTGTTTCCAGCCCCCGCCCGGAGCCGTGAGTGATCACGGGGTTGCTGACGCTGTTCCCTGTGCTGCCCTTGACACCCCGCGACCCTTCGGTAGCCACCAGTCTGTGCTTCTCAGTCTTCACCTTCTTCACCCAGTCCCCCTCCCCCCTCTGACCCTAACCCTAACCCTTCACCTTCTTCACCCAGTCCCCTCCCCCCTCTGACCCTAACCCTAACCCTTCACCTTCTTCACCCAGTCCCCTCCCCCCTCTGACCCTAACCCTAACCCTTCACCTTCTTCACCCAGTCCCCTCCCCCCTCTGACCCTAACCCTAACCCTTCACCTTCTTCACCCAGTCCCCTCCCCCCTCTGACCCTAACCCTTCACCTTCATCACCTAGTCCCCTTCCCTCCCCTCTGACCCTAACCCTAACCCTTCACCTTCATCACCTAGTCCCCTTCCCTCCCCTCTGACCCTAACCCTAACCCTTCACCTTCTTCACCCAGTCCCCTCCCCCCTCTGACCCTAACCCTAACCCTTCACCTTCATCACCCAGTCCCCCTCCCCCTCCCTCTGACCCTAACCCTAACCCTTCACCTTCTTCACCCAGTCCCCTCCCCCCTCTGACCCTAACCCTAACCCTTCACCTTCATCACCCAGTCCCCCTCCCCCTCCCTCTGACCCAAACCCTAACCCTTCACCTTCTTCACCCAGTCCCCCTCCCCCTCCCTCTGACCCTAACCCTAACCCTTCACCTTCATCACCCAGTCCCCTCCCCCCTCTGACCCTAACCCTAACCCTTCACCTTCATCACCCAGTCCCCTCCCCCCTCTGACCCTAACCCTAACCCTTCACCTTCATCACCCAGTCCCCTCCCCCCTCTGACCCTAACCCTAACCCTTCACCTTCATCACCCAGTCCCCTCCCCCCCTCTGACCCTAACCCTAACCCTTCACCTTCATCACCCAGTCCCCTCCCCCCTCTGACCCTAACCCTAACCCTTCACCTTCATCACCTAGTCCCCTTCCCTCCCCTCTGACCCTAACCCTAACCCTTCACCTTCATCACCTAGTCCCCTTCCCTCCCCTCTGACCCTAACCCTAACCCTTCACCTTCATCACCCAGTCCCCCTCCCCCCTCTGACCCTAACCCCATGAGTCTGTTTTGTTTGTTCATTTTTTGCTGTTTAGAATCCACATGTAAGTGACTCATTTTATTTAGCATCACGCCCTCGAGGTCCATCCATGTTGTCGCAAAGCTTTTTTATCTGCTCGTCCACTGGTGGACACTTGGGGGGCTTCCACATCTTGGCTACACCATGGGGTGCATGTATCTTTTTGAATCAGTGTTTTGAATTTCGTCTGATATATTCCCAGAAGTAGAATTGCTGGGTTGGATGGCAGCTCTATTTGTAATTTTTGGAGGAAGCTCCAGTGTTTCCCTCAGTGGCTGCACCAGTCTGCATCCCACCCGCGGTCACCAGGGTCCCTGTTCTCCGCATCCTCGCCGGCACTTGTTTGTGGATTAACTGACGACAGCCGTTCTGACAGGTGTGAGGTGATCCTCACTGTGGTTTTCATCTGCATCTCTGATGAGTAATAATGTTTATATCTTTTCATGTTTGTCTGGCCATCTGTGTGTCCTCTTTGGAGAAGTGTCTGTTCAGGCCCTCTGCTCATTTTTAATTGGGTTTTCCTGGTGTTGAGTTGTAGAGTTCTCTATAAATCTGGGGTATTAACCCTTTATCAGATGTATCGTTGGTGGATATCTTCCCCCGTTCAGTAGGCTGCACTTGGTTTTGTTGACGGTTCCCTTTGCTGTGCAACACTTGTTAGTGCGCGGTGGTCCTGTTTGTTTTTTTCTAAAAAAGATATCATTTGAGTGTAAGTATTTAGGGGAATAGAAGATAAAGAGGGAGCAACATTTCTTTTAAAGTAGGAGTTGCCACTCGTGCTCGGGAGGTGACGTCAGCAAGTCCAAGGCACCGTGTCGGGGAAGGCGCTGTCACGGGTAAAGGTCACAGAACACGAACAGCCAAGTTCGATAAAGAGACGTCCTGTCTAACCCGCTGCTCTGTGTAGCCCGCCCTCTAATCCGCGTGATGAACACGCATGTCCGCCACGCAGAGCAGCGGCGTTGCCACGGGAGCCCCCTTGCTGCTGGTGACGGGCCACCTGTAGGTGAGGCTCACGGTCGCGGCTGGAAAGGCCTCGTGGGGGGCGGGACGGGGACGAGCAGGTCGGATGGGAACGTGTTTTCTTTAGTGAAAGGCGTTGCGCAGTCGGTAGCGTTGCCATGTACACAGCAGATGCTAAATACTCCTTAACTTCCCGCATCCGCGCTGCAGAAAGAAGGCTCGAGACTGGTCAGTGAGCTAAACCGTGCTAGCGTGTCAGGAAGGTCAGTCGGCAGTCCCCAGACCCAGGGAGACTGGGTTAAGGGGTCATTCTCCGTGATGACCATAAACTGGAAAAAGACAACACAATCGCCTCGTAGAAGCCAGAGGTTTCGCGTGCATCTGTGTGCCTGTGTGGTCAATGTTTATTTTAGTCTATAAAATTGTCTACTTTGGTGGAATGTATTATTTTTAAAGCAATTTATTTTTAACAGAAAACTTGAAATACCGGATACGTGGCTGGGAATCGAGCCACCGCCACGTCTGCCTCCGTGACCGCTGCCCTCTGGAGCACGTGGCCAGTGGTTTCTCACGTCCTAACCTGGTCGCGTGGCGCTTAGCAGGGCCCGAACCGGTGAGACGGGGCTCGGGAGCGGAACTGCCCGAGACAATCGCCATGACTTGTTTCGAGGTTGCGGTCCAAGAGCTCGCCAGCCTGCACCCCGGTCCGGCGGCTCGGGAGGCGTTATCTTCCCTCTGGTTCTGAAGCCGCTGCCTAAAGCCGTTCGGTCTCGGTTCTCTGAGACCCGCAATCCAGCACTTAGATGTGTGTCTCAGAAATGAGCTGGGACACCCGCCTGCTCTAGCCGTCCGGCAAGTCCTGCCTCACTTGTTTGTAACGTATGGAGTCGTCCAGGGTCAATAGAACGGAATTGGCCCCAAACTGGCTTTGGGCACTTGACCCTCAGCAGAATTAGCGGCGAAACCCCTGAGGGACGCTAGAACCTGATGAACACCTGGAGCTGGTTACCGGACCCTCACCTGTTGGGAGGGCAGGACAAGAGTGTTTGAAGGCCCTTCAGGAGCAAGTCAAAGCTCCTCCATAGACCCATCCAGTGTCCTTTGTAGCCTGTTTGCTATTTTAACACAGGCTATTTATATGCTCGGCAGAAAGAAACTCGTGTTTATTTTGATTCAGGCTCTTCAATTCACGCACTTGCTGAGACCTGCCGTCCTGTGCACGCATCTGTGTGGGTGTTTTCTCTACCTGGGCGCCCCGTCTTGGCTGGAGATCCCTCTTATCTCTGGGGAATCGCCTCCCACGGCCGGGTTCTCCAGCCGCCGCTGGGCGTGCGCCGCGGTTGACCTCATCGCTGGCATTGCCTTCTGAGCCGTGAGTCATTCAGGGGCAGCGGCCATGAAACGGGGCCCTGTCCGCGGGGGTTCCCCTGGCCTCGGCCACCTCGAAATGCCAGAGCACCTGGTGCTGACTTCAGTCCTGAGACGCACATAAGGACACCAGATGTCCAGGGGTGGACGGGGCTTCTGTGTGCATTTACACCCAGGAACTGGTCACTGTGCAGGGTTTTAAAGACGTCAACATTGCAACATGAGCATTTCACTTTCGGGGGGACGACCTGGCCGTCCTTCCCTGTCTTCAGCGTCCTGGACATTTCTCGGGGGAGGGAATTGGCCGAGCAAGCCCCGCCTGTCCACCTGCAGGCCGTCCGACATGCTCCTGGAATCTCAGACATGCACATGCGCCCTGATTCTCCTCATGACGGGTTCCCTGTCCCCTTCAGCCTCTCTGGGGATAACACGAGCCCGATTACGCAGAGAAAGGCCCCCCCACAGGACTCCCGGCCACAGAGGGCGAGGTCCCGGACAGCTGGCACCGTTCTTCGTGGTCTGCGGGCTCCTGGCACGGGGCGGTGTGGGCGCGTGGTTGGGGCTAGGAGAGGGGGCGGCAGCCGGTTGTACGCGGTGGTCTCTGCGCGTCACTGTGCTCGGTCAGCTGCACACAGCTGTGGACCTGAGCTCAGACAGCGGCCTGGGGTGGCCTCTCCCCTTAGTCTGCCGGAGATGCCTCTTCGCGTCCCGCCGGCCTGCGCACTGTAGGACAGTCCGCTCCGCGTGATGGGCTGTGAGGCTCCCCGTCAGGGCCGCAGGCCCGTCGATGCTTCCGAGACGGCCGTGGAATGGTCCCAAGGAGAGCGGGGCCGGCTGGATCTGTTCGGAAACTGAAAAACCAGTTTTCCAAGGTAAACGAGAGATTTGCAGATTCTCTGTCCCTGACCAGGCTCCCACGTCTGCCTTGAAGGGACGCAGTAGGTCCAACGTACAAGAAAGGGGGCTGTGGAGCCTGCCTGGGGGAAGGTGGGCACCGTCTCCCAGGAGGAAAGTCGGCCCCGGGTCTCGTCCGGGGGTTATGCAGCCGGGCTGAGTTTCTCTGTCAGTTGCATGAGGGATCGCACCTTGTCCAGAGCAAGGTGGCTCCCCCTAGACTGACCCTGGGGTGACATGGACCACGTCACCTCCCCGTTAAGATTCTTTCCTTCTCTACTGTGTTACACCCGATGTCTGTCTCTGCTCCTCAGTGTTCGTACCCTGACAACCCACTGAGCACAGGGACAGCGGGCCCCCTCGGCGGCGGCCCATTCATGACAGGTGCTGTGGAGCTCAGCCAACAGGTCCCTGGAGACGGGCGTATCAGGCGAACTGGGCACGCGGGGAGCAGGGAGCCCCGAGATGTCAGGGTCCCCCAGGCTCGGAGTTGGAAAGTCGGAAGCTGTGGGAATCGGTGGGCCACTCGTCAAATCAACAGTCCTGGGGGCACGAAAAGTCCCACGACCTTGGGTCCTGGGAAAGCACAGGCCCAGCCAGAGGCCGCCTCTCTGCTCGGTGCAGTTACTGCGAATTTCCTCTTCCTCTGCAGATGAGGAAGCTGTGAAGGTTAGACGGTGCCACCCAGGGGGCCCCGGTGCCAAGGTCTGGGTGGACCCCACGGGGGCCCTCGTAGGTGCAAAATCTCTGATCAGACACTTGATTTGCAAATATCGTCTTCAGTGTGGCTCTGTTTTTAATCTTGCATCATAATCTTGTGATTTAGAAGGAGTTAGAATAATCGTATTTTTCTTTTATGGATTTTGTTTTCGGGGTCCTCTCTAACCCAAGGTCACAAAGCTTCGCTCCCATTTTCTTCTAGAAGTTGCACCGTTTTAGGTTTTAAAATTAGGTCTATGATCCAATTTAGAATTTTGCTTATATGGTGAGAGGTATTTACCAAAGTTTTTATTTTTATTTTCTTGCATATGAATATCCAATTTTTCCAGCATCCCTGCCTGTTCCTTCTGATGCTTCTGGAAGCGTCTCCCTCAGATGGGGTGCTGAGCGGGCGTCTGCGGGATACACGGTGGGCCCTGTGCGCCCTCAGGTTCTCTCTACTCCGCTGTCTCCTCTCCAGGACTCTGCTCGGGGCCTCCGCCACCTGTTCTCTGGACTCTGTCTCTCCAGCAGGGGCTCCAGGTAGACCTGCAGCAGAGCCATCTGTGAGGGGCTCTGCTGGTTGCCAAGGACCCCACCGCCAGGGATCCCCACCGCCAGAGACCCCACCGCCAAGGACCCCCATGCCAAGGACCCCCATGCCAAGGACCCCACCGCCAAGGACCCCACCGCCAAGGACCCCCATGCCAAGGACCCCACCGCCAAGGACCCCACCGCCAAGGACCCCCATGCCAAGGACCCCACCGCCAAGGACCCCATCGCCAGGACCCCCATCGCCAAGGACCCCCAGCGCCAAGGACCCCCATGCCAAGGACCCCCATGCCAAGGACCCCCCCCCGCCAAGACCCCCATGCCAAGGACCCCCATGCCAAGGACCCCCCCCCCGCCAAGGACCCCCCCCCCGCCAAGACCCCCATGCCAAGGACCCCCATGCTAAGGACCCCGCCGCCAAGGACCCCGCCGCCACGGACCCCACCGCCAGGACCCCCACCGCCAAGGACCCCCACCGTCAGGACCCCACCGCCAGGACCCCCATCGCCAGGACCCCCACCGCCAAGGACCCCCACCGCCAAGGACCCCCACCGCCAGGACCCCCATCGTCAGGACCCCCATCGCCAGGACCCCCACCGTCAGGACCCCCACCGTCAGGACCCCCACCGCCAGGACCCCCATCGCCAGGACCCCCACCGCCAGGACCCCCACCGCCAAGGACCCCCACCGCCAAGGACCCCCACCGCCAAGGACCCCCACCGCCAAGGACCCCCATCGTCAGGACCCCGATGGGCCGACCGGAGCAGCTGTGACCAAGTACAGGTGAAGACAGTGGACAAAGCAATGACGTTTGTCTTCAGACACGGACATTATCGAAGACCTAACAACAAAAGCGAATCCCAGCGGTTCCCTCCAGCAAGGTCACGGGAGAGAAACAGAGGCACCCAGAAGTGCTGGTGGTGGACAGTGACGCCGACCCCTCTGGAGGGAGACGCGGGGGCCAGGTAGACTCCTCCTCGCTGGGCCATCATAGGAAATGCACCTGTTGGCCCCCCCCCCCCGACCTATAGATTCCTCAGGTCAAGAGCACAGGTTTGTTCTGTGGGTGGACCCTGGGGGCTCCTGGGTGGGGGCTGGTCACTGGAACGACCAGCCGTCGTTAGAAGCCTGGACTCTCAGCCCTGTCCCGCCCCCAGCTCCTCTCCATGGGGATGGAGTTAATAACTGATCATGCCCCCGTGAGGGAGCCTCCCTGACATCCCAGTCACAGGGGTTTAGGGAGCTCCCAGATAGGGGAACACCGCCACACCACAGGGACACACCCCAGCTCCACGGGGAAGACGCTCCTCCTCGGCACCCTCCCAGACCTCACCCAGGTGTCCGCATCTCACTGTCCCCCCGTCCTTGACCGCGTCCTCCGTAGACTGGGAAACGTCAGTGCCTCCCTGAGTCCTGTGAGCCACGCTCGCAAGTGGACCGACCGGACAGGGTCCGTGCTGACCTCTGATGTGTCGGTCCCAGACCAAACGGAAGCGGCGGTGCCCCGGGCACCCAGGCTCGGGCTGGGGCCTGAAGTGGGGACAGTCTCCGGGACTGAGCTGCTCCAGGTGGACAGTGTCAGAGTTGTGGGCTCAGAGGGCTGTGAGCGAGCCCTCGTGTGAGAGGAAGGACGCAGGGGAGGGAGAGCGGGGTTTTCCCACGCGCCCGGGAAACGACTGAGCACACAGTGACCTGTGCTCACGGGACGCAGCCTGAATCCGGCAGGATCGGCCGCTCCGAGCCCGTGAGGGGGCCACACTGCACTGGGAATGTCTGCAGTCTACTTCAGTCGTTTTAGGGCTAATTGATTGCATCTTCTACTTACCTGGGTGTTACCACGTTTGACCCCCAACACAGATCTGCCCGAGCTGTACACACTCTTAGAAAACAGAGTTTCCGCCCCACTCAGCTCTGTGCCCCCAGAACAGTCAGACGGCTTGTCCATGAGCACAGGGCCCGCAGAGCAAACCCGGACCCCAGCCAGCGGCACCCCGAGGCCAGGTGCCTTCAGTAGACCTGCGTCTGTCTCCACACACGCCGCCGGCGGAGCCTCTTGGTCATGTCACCGAAAGTGCGCGGCCGGGAGAGCCCAGCGACCGGAGGTGGAGCAAGTCACTTCTTCCGAGAACGCGCGGAGGAGACCTTGCTTCTGAGTCCAGTCCGAGTGTCTTAGTTCCCGTGCAGACCTCGTTTCTTCTTCTTTAAAAAAATTTATTTTCTTTATTGATTTTAGAGGAAGGGACAGGGAGAGAGGGACAGAAACACGGATGAGAGAGAACATGATTGGCTGCCTCCCGCATGCCCCCCACTGGGGATGGGCCCACAACCTGGGCATGTGCCCTGACCGGAGTCAAACCAGCAACCTCTTGATGCAGGGTCGACGCTCATCCACTGAGCCACACCGGCCAGGCCAGACCTTGTCCCTTTAAGCACCCTTTTCGGTGCTTGGACACGCTTTCATTTCATAGCTTACAAGAGAAGAGGTGTAAGCCCAGACATCTGGGGATATTCTCATACTATAATTTGAAGAATGTTACACAACCGTATGGGTAGGAAGATTCTGTCTGCCCCCCCAGCCCCCCGCCATTCCTACTGCACAATCACTCATCCGGCCGGCTTGAGGCCTCTCGGGGTCGCCGGCTTCGCACACCCTCCCGCGGGAGAGGTCGCGACTCCGGGGTCTTCCATACGCACCCACCCACTCAGGACGGCTCCGTCCTCGTGACCCAAGCACCCCCTGAAGGTCCCACCTCCTCATAGCAGCACACTGGACACCAGGGTTTCAACCGAGAAAACCGTTTTGGGAGGACACAGGCCCTAAGACCACAGCAACAGCCGCCGCAGAACCCGTGTGAGGGGCTGGTTGTGCAGAGCAGGAGGCGCGGGTGAGGGGGGGCAAGTGGGGGATCTGAAGAGTTTTCGTGGGAGGGACCGGTCCTTCAGGGCGACCCGAGGCAGGCCCTCATCCGGTTTGGGGGGGCCCTCTGCACATTCCACATCAGGGAGTGTTTCCTCCTGGAATTCCACCCGGGTCTCTGAATAGACTCGCTCAGCCGCCGAAGCCCACCGGCCAGGCCCAGGGCCCAGGTGCCTTGATAATTTTAACAAACGGTCTGCACGGCTGTCCACGTCCATGTCCTCTGCCTGCCCAGGCAGGGGTCCTGATTCCCAGTCTTGTCCACCGCTGCCAGGCTACACCCCAGCCTTCGGCCTCCCTGGGGGCTGCCTTGCATCTCCTCACGGAAGCACCGCAGGGGCCTGGCTCATCGCCAGGAGGTGGGGAGGGCGCAGGTGGGGCGTGGGCTGCGGGCTGCCGACGTCGAAGGGGCGCAACGTGCTGAGGGGCGACACCCGGGGCCGGAGAGGGCTCTGAGGCGGAGTGGGCGCCGTGCCCGCCCGGAGGGCAGAGCGTGGGGCCAGCTGCGGGCTCGGCCCAGAGGCGACACCTGTTTCCAGGATTCCACGTTGTTTCCAAGATCTCAGCCCAAAGTCACATTGTTATGAATGTCAGGTCAAAACCCCGAGTGTGCGTCTTACGTGGGGGTCACGATGGGAAGCCCTCCCCCCGGAGTCCGAGGGAGGGTGTCCCAGACGGGAGAGATGCCGCTCGAGCGTACATTTCCTCCGGGACAGCACTGCCTTCTGAGGTCACGGCCTTCCTACCCTTCTTTGTTCTTAAAAATCTCTTCATGTCATGGAATGATGGTGGTCCGATCACCGTAGGTTTCTGGCATTTTGTTTTCTTGTCTTCTCTATCCATGCTCGCCAGGGGTTTCCGGGTTACTGGGTCCGTAGACTTTGGACACGGACACTCCTGCCGCGGCCGCGCCGCAGGTCGCCTGTTGTTGCCACAGGACCCGTCAGGCCGTCCGAGCGCCCGAGCGGCGTGGTCAGTGTGGTCAGTGCGGGCAAGCCTCCCCTCTGCGCGTGGGTGGGGCCCACCAGATGGACAGAACCACGTCGCTGGCAGAAGTCAGAGCCCCCCCTTGGAGAGGGTCAGGTGCCCCTCCTCAGGCGGGAACCAAACCAAACCGAAGGAACCGGGGTAGGGCTCCTGTCACCCTGACTGGCCCTCGTGGCAGGGGTGGGGGCGCTGTCTTGGTGGAATGCAGGGGCCTGGGCAGCGGCCTGGCTGGCTCCCTGCGCGACCCCGGGCGGAGACCCCGGACGGAGACCCCGGTGTCCTCAGGTGTTGGCTGCTGGGTCTTCACCACAGGTGGGGAAGGGGTGCGTCTGCCTAAGTTACCGGCTGCGGCCACGTTGCGGGGATACAGGTCGCAGACCAGCTCAGGGAAGTCCTGCCCACACCGAGACCAGACACCTTTCTCATCACCCGCGCGGGGGGACTCTGGCGCCCCCACCACGAATTCGGGTGCTGCCCCAAGTCCAAGTGTGGCGCTGCTGGATTCTAGCGGGGTGACGCGCTGGCGTGGGCCCCGCTGCGGTGGAGGGAGGAGCAGGTGCACAGAGACGCCCCCGTGACAGCTGCCTCTGCACCCGGGTCTTGTTTGCACCCTTCTCTCTTCAGTATCTTCTCATCGTAACCTTGGCCACCGAGTGTCCGCACAGCAACAACCACCTCTACAAGCTTCGGTGAAGCAGGTTTCACTGGGATGGGAGCAGATCATGTCGTCCCCGCTTTCCCACCACCTCTGGTTTCACAGCAACACCACCGGGTTCTGCCTTAAGCCCCCAGAGCTGAGGAACCAGGCCCCGCCTCCCGGCCCCAGGCCCCGCCCTCCCCGCCCCAGGCCCCGCCTCCCGGTCCCAGGCCCCGCCCCGCCCCGTCCCAGGCCCCGCCCCCGCCCCGCCCCGTCCCAGGCCCCGCCCCTGCCCCGGCCCCTCCCCCCCAGCCCCCAGGCTCGCTCCTGCCCAGAAGGTCCCGGGAGGACAGCACCAGCCAGTCAGCGGCTGGTGAGCCCACAGCGGAGTGAAGAGCAGCTGCCATTTGTCTGCATCTGCGCCCCGACCTGCGCGAAGCCCCCGGGTGCGTCCGCGGGCACCTGGGCCGCACGCGAGATGGGCGCTCGGCAGGGCCAGCGGCCTGTGCTCCGCGGGCAGGAGCGCTGTGGCCGCAGACGCCGGCCTGCGTGTTGGTCTCTCTCGGCGTGTCGGGGGGCTGGCGTGGGAGGGGCCCGGCTGCGGGGCCCGGCTGCGGGGGGCGGCGTGTCCTGAAGGCTCCCCAGCTGAACGCCGGGAGGCCCTACGTTCTGTGGGGGCGACCTGCCCGTCTCTGCAGGGCCTGGCGGGCGGGGGTCCACGCGGTCCACGGCGCTCGGGCTCCGGCTCCCCTGGAGGGCAGAGCGAGCTTCTGTGCCTGTCACCTCGGCCTTCTCTCGCCTGGACCCCACGCCAGGCAGTGGCCGGTCCGTGGAAACAAATGAGATCTGAGAACAGCACAGGACGTGGAGGAGGGAAGCCCTGAGCTCCGCGTGGGGTCCGTGGGGGCCTGTGTGGTTGCGCCCCGGCCTGGAGACGCGTCCCTGACTGTGGCGGGGAGGTTAACACCGAAGGTGCAGCGCAGACCCAGGGGGCAGCCCACAGCTCCAGGGGAGGGCGCTGCAGGTGAGGGGTGAGGGGTGAGGGGTGAGGGGTGCGCACTGGCCGCGGCAACACGGGCCCAGGGCAGCACGGGACAGTCAGCCTGCTGTGATAACTGCGTGGGGCCAGGGCCCTGGGAATGTCGGGGTTCACCTTGTAAAGTGCGTGGTCGCTGTGGACCAGAACCCCGCAGAGAGTAATAGTGGATGTAAATGGTTATTGGGGCATTTTT